ACTTTATCAGTATTCTTTACTAAAAGATCATATGATATGACCTTTCAGAGAAGTAAATTTTGTAAAGCCATTAAAATGACTTTTGGAAATAAGCGTTTTTAATAAAGGAAAGGCACATGGATTTCTTCAAAAGGACACAGAGGCAGCTATGTAACATAATGTAAAATTTATTTAATTTTAATTAGGGCTCCAGTATCTCATGAATGAAATGCAATGCCATATTTCCAAAGGCATTTTTAAAATTAGGTAAACTAAGCTCTTATATAATAAGTTGGAAATCAAAGTTGGATGAAATTCTTTTTTTATTTAGTTTTATTTTTTTAATGTTTTATTTATTTCTAAGAGAGAGAGAGACAGTATGAGCAGGGGAGGGTCAGAGAGAGAGAGGGAGAAACAGAATCTAAAACAGGCTCCAGGCTCTGAGCTAGCTGTCAGCACAGAGCCTGACTCAGGGCTCAAACCCATGAACCGTGAGATCATGACCTGAGCCGAAGTCGGACGCTTAACCGACTGAGCCACCCAGGTGCCCCAACGTTGGATGAAATTCTAAAATTAGAAAAAAGTTAAATAGAAAGAAAATTATGCTGATTGATCTTTAAGGGAAATGACTGTTTAAACCCAAGCAATTGATTCCGTACTGACTCCTTCAGCTTGAAACCGTAACTCTTGAAATGGTAACAAACCAGTTGGAAGCTTCAATAGTAATGAAAGAGAAATCCAGGGTAGCCACTGATAATGCATGCATGTCTTCAGAGCTGCTGAAATTGGTAAAAGAAGAATACCAAAAAAATGGTATTTTTCTCAATCAGCAAGTACAAGGTCCATCCGCTGTCCCTTTAGTTCTTAGAGTTTTTTAATCAACTTATTTGTCCGCACCCTTTGGTCACATCAAAAATAATTATAAGGATGAGCCCAGTGATATGTTAAAACAATAAAGTCTCTATATGTATGATAGATCTGTGTATATACATTCCTATGGAGTAGATATGTACACACATATATGGCATGGACATATATAGATACACTTATTCAAAAGAGGCAAAGTGTGATAAGAGCTCTGATACTAAAGGCTGTGTCATCTGGCCCAGCTGTGCTTCTAACAACCCATCTTAATTAGGTTGTGCCAGTATTAGGGGGCAGTACCTACTATTTAAGTTTCTTAGATTCCTTAGTTTGTCTTTATTTTCCATTTTAAAAGACTAATGACTGTGAAGGCAACGTAGCCAAGGACTCTGAGAACATTGCCTTTTCTGCATGCCCACGGTTTGCTCTCTCAACAAGAGCTGTAGATGAAAGAACAGTGAGCCTCTACCTCAGTGCTTCTCAAAGTGTGGTTCATGAAACCCTGGTCACCTAAACCTTTTTAGGGAGCCCACAAGGTCAAAAACTATTTTTTAGTGCTAAGATTTTTTTTTTTTTTTTTTGCCTTTTTCACTTATGGTGCAAATGCAATGGTGGGTAATGCACCTTAGCATGAATCAAGGTAGAGGTATCAGACTCTACTGTGGTGATGGCATTCTTCATTGGCATATATTTACAACTTAAATGCCAGTTTCATTTAATGTCCTCATTGATGCAATAAAAGTTATTTCAACAGCACATAAGCCTTGGCTACATACTGTATTAACGCGCTGTATGACTAAGAGGAAGAATATATAAAGCGTTTCTACTACATTCCACAGTACAGTGGTTGTCTGAAGGCAAAGTCTTCATTTGAGTTAAAGTGGAATTCACTCCTTTATCATATTATATCACTTTTACTTGAATGAAAACAACTGATTACTCAGACTTTAGCCTGTGGAAGACATTTTCTCGAAATGAATGAAGTGAGCCTAATGCTTTAAGGAAAACGACTGATACCGTTTGCTGCCAGAAACAAACTTCAAACTTTCAAGTGGTGATTAGAATTTTGGAAAAATTCCCATTCCTTAAAACTTTTCTCATGAAAGCAGTAATGATATTAATGAATGTGATTTTCTTTACATAATTTGTCAACATGTGGAAGATCTGCATACCTCAGCAATCCAGTATTTTCCAGATGACGAATATATGATACAAACCTTGTGTAAAAGATCCATTGGAAGTACACGACAGATGAATGAGTTTTAATATCATGAAGTTTGTTGATATAGTTTTCAGATTCCATATTGCAACTAACTAGGTCGGTTTGATATCAAAAGTTCATATCCACAATTATATGAAAAGCCTGTTAAGATATTCCTCTATGGGGCGCCTGGATGGCTTAGTCAGTTAAGCGTCCGACTTTCGCTTAGGTCATGATCTCACGGTTCGTGGGTTCGAGCCCCGCGTCGGGCTCTGTGCTGACTGCCAGCTCAGAGCCTGAAGCCTGTTTCAGAGTCTGTGTCTCCCTCTCTCTCTGACCCTCTCCTGCTCACGCTCTCTCTCCTAGAAATAAATAAAATATTTTAAAAAAAAGATATTCCTCTATTTTCCAACTGCCTATCTATTTAATTCATAAATTTCAATCAGAATAACATATTGCAACAGACTGAATGCAGAAGCAGATATGAGAATCTAGCTATCTTCCATTAGGCCAAACGTTAAAGAGATTTGCAAAGCGGAAAGCAATGCTATTTTTCTCATTTTTTTGTTATTGTTTTGGAGACTAGTTATAATCAACATGTCATGGGTTTATTTTTAAATTAGTATATATTTTTCAACTTTCTTGGTTTTAATTTCTAATATGTTAAATATTGAGTGGTATGGTCCATGTAAAAAAATGCTCCTTGAGGTCCTTCTTACTACATTTTAGAGCGTGAAGGTGTCCAGAGATCAAAAATTTGAAAGCCACTGCTTTACATTGGTGCATTTTATTCCTGAAATTGGCCCTCACTTCAAAGAACAAGCCCAGTTCCTTTGACACTTACCATGAAGGAAACAACCACCAAATCTATCAAGGAATATAGACTAGAGCACTAGTACTGTCCTTGTTAGCACTGTCACTGCAGCTGGCTGGGGTCACCTCCAGTCTCATTTAGATGAGCATCGCTCCATGAACGAGCATCTGAGTTCAGTCATTCACTTACTCAACAGCAGTTGTCTGGGTCCTGATCCCGTTTGCCAGGGGCTGTGGTACGTAAGGGACGGGAATGCGAAGCAGAATAAGACAATAGCTTTGGAAGCAAAACTTGGAGGTTAAGATGAGTTAGAGCCTCTGTGATTGTCACTGGAACAACCATGAGTAGGAAACATTTGGGGCAGTGAGGTGATGACTCACTGGGAAGCCAAGAGGTCATGAAGTATTAGGAAATCATGAACTAGTCTGAAATGTCAAGGACACCAGGAATCTGCAAAGTTCTTTAGTTAGCTTGTATGGCTTGCCTGCAACCTATGTTTGAGAACACGCCTGCACACCATATAGGTTCTTCCTTCAAGAAGCTTGCAGCCTCGTGGCAGTAACAGAATGGAGTTAGGAAAGTTGTGTTTTGATAAAATGAGAAAATCGTATCAAATGCTGGACGCACGTCAAGTAGGCAGGTCACAGGTGAGCGCAGCAGCAGGCAGTTGAAACTTCAAACATTGTGTTAAGGAATAAACCCCGAAGGAAGACAGATTGCTGCTCAAGGAAGTTAGCTAAAGCAACAAGACAGAATGGATAATTATAATCATTTCCAAAGATAACCACCTGTGAACTCAAAGAAGAGCCTTGGCTTGGCTTTAGGCTGTTTATTGTGCAGCCCTTAATTCCGTATTAGGGAAGGGAAGATCCACAAACCAAACAAGGCTTGGGAGAATAAGCAGCAAAATGCGGCCTTGCCCTTGCTCTGTAATTAGGACTAAGTAACAAAACAGGTGCCGAGAGCTAGATTCTTGGATCTGAAGGTGGCAAAAGGGAGAGAAATTTTCTTTTTGTCCCACACTGGCTACCCTTATTCACTGCCATAAGATAAGAGCAGAACATTCCTTCTCACAGTGGCAGAGTGATGAACTTCATGTCCTGGGGGCAGTGGGACTGAGCCATGAGAAAGGACAACACAGTCTAAAAAGGATGCATCTCTTTCTTCTTTTTCCCGGAGCCACAGGTGCATCCTACTCATTTATCTTCTGTCGTTTAGATAGAGATAGGCGTTTCCAAGGACAACGGATTTTTCAGCGGAGAATATTTGAGGTTCCCAGTGAAGTATGCAGAATACAGAAAATGGGGAAAAGAAAGCAAGTCAAAAGCACAGGCATAGGGGTGCCTGGGAGGCTCAGTCAGATCAGGGTCTGACTCTTGATTTCGGCTCAGGTCATTATCTTGTGGGTTCGTGAGTTCAAGCCCCACCTGGGGCTCTGTGCTAACATCACAGCACAGATTCTCTCTTGGGATTCTCTCTTCCTCTCTCTCTGCCCCTCCCTGCTCATGCTCTCCCTCTCAGAAATAAACAGTAAAAGAATCTTTTACAAAGCACAGGGACAAAAAACGGGAAGCCAGAAAAAATGAAGTTCTTTCCAAACCACCCCCGCCCCCTACCGCAACCACAACCAACGAGATCTTCCATCTTCTAGGACGAGGACCATGTGGCAAAGCCGTCTGCCTTCCCAGGGAGCAAGTAAATGCTTTACAAACAGAGACTAGTAAATAATTAACACAGACCAATGCTGAGATTACCTTTAAAATGGTTTAAAGCATCCTTACCCAGGATGGTAAGATAAATAACAGAAACATTTCAAAGGCTGGGCTCTGTTCTCTCTAGCATCTTCATGTTTTGTTTAGGGGAAGGGAGAGTCCAGGAAATAATGGTCTGCTCTGGCCATGGTCTTTCTGGTCCACGTGGAGCCAAAGGCAACCCACTTATGGGATAATACTCAGTAAACGTGAGGCTTATTTCCCCTACCAGTGGCTTCATTCAGTGGCTTCATAAAACACTGAGGTGCCTTGTCAACTCCCGGACTAATCCAGATCGCTGTTTCTCACGGGTGGAAGCAGCATTTCAGATGCTGTTAATGTTGTGTGTTGTACGTGAAGAGAAATTAATTCACAACCGTTCCTTTCTCAGAAACATGATTCCGGTGACAGAGTTCCGGCAGTTCTCTGAGCAGCAGCCTGCCTTCCGTGTGCTGAAACCATGGTGGGATGTGTTTACCGACTACCTTTCGGTAGCTATGCTGATGATCGGTGTGTTCGGATGTACTCTGCAGGTAGGTGCCTAGACCTAAGGGAGCCAGAAGGGGAGCCAGAGCAAGACAGTAAGCTGCTGACACCTTTAAAAAGAGCTGGCGGTATGATTTTTAGCCATGTAAATACTAGTTGTCTTTCTCTACTAGTGAATGGTGTTTGTCGTCATGGAAGGGAGCCCAAAACCCATAGTCACTGCACTTTCATGTATATATGCATCTGTAACCTTCCTAGATGTGTATGCATACCTAGAAGCAGTTCATTTCTTAGGTAAAACTAACTAAACCAGCCATCGAGTGTTCTGCTAGGATAGAGGCACCGTGAAGCACTAAGGGAGCGCAGAGGAGGGGCCATTTTCCTGGGGATGAGACAAGAGGTGACGGTTGTATTAAAACGTGGAGAACCAGCTGTATTGAGGGAGACGGAGCTGGGGGTAGAAAAAGATGCCAGGAAGGAGACGGGAAGCTTGAAGTCATGGAGGTGAGGTAGAACGTGACGCCTTTGGGAAACTGTCAGTAGGACGGACCTCCCTGGGTGTCGTGAGTGTGGGAGTTGAAGCCATGCCTGAGAATGGGGTCACCGGGGAGAACGTGGAGAGCGACATAATGGCAGGAACACCAAAGTGCAAACGAAGGAAAAAGGGGTGCCTCCGAAGGAGACGGAGAAGGGGCGGCCACACGGAGAGGTGGAACCCGGAAGACCGGAGGGGAAAGACACCTGTGGTCAGTGATGGCAGGCATACGACTCAGTCACTGACTAAGGAGAGAAAGGTAGCACCTGGGTCATTGCAAATCGTACTTTAAGTGGTTGGAAAAGTGCATGCAAGTTAAAGACTGTGGGGGAGGTGTGACTTTTAGGTAGATCAGCTGAGAGGAAGAAAAACTTGGAAGAAAGGGAAATAACTAGAAGCGGTACAGAGTGGAAATAAAGGCCTTTTAAAATTGGATGTAATAAAAACTTGATTTAATGACACATAGTGCTTCCTAAGTGTCAGGTACTCTTCTGAATACTTGACACGTATTTTAACTCATTTCATCCTCATGGCAACCGTGAGATATCAGTGCTATTATTATCCCCACTTACAGAGAGACAACAAAGGCACAGAGAGACTAGGGAAACCTCCAGGGTGAGTGGCAAAACCTTTACCGAGACCCAGGCAGTTTGGCCTCAGTGTTCATCTCTAACGCCATGCCCCTTTTTATCTGTAGACTGAACACATTTGGCCCTCCCTCTGCCCCCCAAAGAAGGGTGCCAGTGAAAATTGAGAATTTGGATGAGAGAAAGGACATATATTCATTTATAAATAAAACAAATAGTTGTTGAAGAACCTCCTGTATTCCAGGCACTGTCCTAGGTGCTAATTATTATCAATGCACAAGGAAAAAGACAAATATCCCAGCCATATTGACTTTAAATTCTATGGGAAAACAAAATAAGTAAAATCAGCTCATAAATTATATATGTTAGAAGGTAATAAGGACAATGAAAAAGAAAATATAGCATATGAGGATGGTCTCAGCAGGTGACATTAGGAGTTGCAGTTCTCACATAGGAAGCCTTCATTGAGAAGGTGACTTCTGATGAAGGGACTGAAGAAAGGGTGGGAGCAGGCCATGAGGATGTCCGGGGAGGAGTCTCCCCACCAGAGAGAACAGCAAAAGCAAAAGAGGCACGGACAGAGTGTTCACAGATTCCTTCCCCTTCTCCAGGAGAACTTGACATTTGACTTCTTCAGCTTTCTAGCTCTGTTTCCCTGGAGACCTGATAAAAGTAGAATGTTAGCTGTGTTACTAGGCAACGTTGCTTATGATATAAATGACTGCTGTTTGGTCAACTGCATCTGGACTGGAAGAATGATAAATGCCTGGTAGGAAGCCACACCACCAGACTTCTGTGATTGTGGTGACACCTATAACAGGGCATGCCCCTTGACACACAGAGTATCTATTGAGTTGCACCAGAGGTTAGTCTCTTTGGAGCTGAAGCCTTCTAAGCCCAGATAATTGCAGACCCCACATCGCGTGGATCTCTTTCCCTTGGGCCTGAGATGATCTGGGGAGGAGGGGCCCGGGGAGAGACGAGGTCCTTGGCAAGGTGTGGATCACACCCAGTTATGAAAGTTCCTCCAAAGGAAGAAAGCCTGATGCCACTTTGCTGGCAAGCTGTGACTTTAATCCTGGATCTTTCTAAGTGATTCTGGTGCCAGATGAGTGTTAGGATAATCTTAAAGTCCGAATGATGAGATGAGCCTAGAAGGACCCCTGGTGAAGTTACAAGGCTGGAGCAGGGGCATCCCTGGCATGCTGAAGAAAGCCGGGAGCCTGTGGGCTAGAGCAGAGTGAAGTGGGAGCAGAGTAGAAGAATAAGGCCTGAGAGGCAACAGCTGCAGATCACACAGGGCCTTGTAGGTCCTTGTCTAGGTTTGGGCTTTGCTCCAAGTCAGATGGAACATGTTTTGAGGTTGAAGCAGAGGGGTGTCATTATCTAGCCTGTTTCAACAAGACCACTCTAGATAAGAATACAGTGTAGGGGGCAAGGTTGGAAGCAGGGAGGTTATTTAGAAGCCTAGTGCTGCAGGGGCACTTGGGTGGCTTAGTCGGTGGAACTGCCAACTCTTGATTTTGGCTCAGGTCATGAGCACAGGGTCGTGGGATTGAGCCCCGTGTCAGGCTCTGCGCTGAGTGCGAAGCCTGCTTAAGATTCTGTCTCTCCCTCTGCCCCTCTCCCTCACTCGCATGCTTGCTCACTCTCTCTTTAAAAATAAACAAACAAACAAAATGTTTTAAAATCATTAAAAAAAACCCAGACAAGACGCAAGAATCAGATGGCTTGCACCAGGATTGAAGCTGTGGTTCTGGATATACTTTTAAGGAAAAGCTGTAAGATTTGCTGAAGAGTGAATGTGATGTATGAGAAAAAAATCGTGACTTTAAGATTTTTAGGCCTGAGCAACCCGCAAAAGTTTGTTTTCGAGCATACAGTTGAGTTATATGATAGATATCCAAGTAGATCTGTTGTGTCAGAAGTTGGATAGAAGACTCAGGAAGGAAATTAGGGTAAGTGAAGGATGGTCATCTTCACAAAGGAGGTGGCAGATCCAGGATCCAGGTGGCAGGATAACCCTTGATTCGGGGGGAGGGGGCACCTTCCACCACAATGGGAATGATGGCTACAGATGCATTTGCTTGGGGGGCAGGAGTGAGGGACAGAAAGATGAGTTTGCACCTAATAGCTTCTGTGAGGTAGAAAGCAACATATCTGGAGAGAGCTTGTGGGGTAAGGGAGGCCGTAGGATGTGGTAAGAAAGGAGGCGTGGAGCAGGGTCCTTGAGGAGAAGGGCAAATATTTAGAATGACCAGTTTGGGAAATCGCAGAGGGAGGTCACATGGATCAGCAGGAGGACTCGCGGCTGTTTTACTTTATTACCACGGCAGGGCCCGGAATCGTTTTTCTCTGGTTGGCATATCCCATGGCGGGAAGAAGTGCAGAAAAGAGAAACTGCACAGACTGTCTATAAGAATAGTAGTCGACTTAGAACAAAATGGAAATGAGAGCAGGAGCCTATGAAAGTGTCTACAGTGGAAACTAATTTGACAATAAACTATTTGTAAAAAAAAAAATAATAAAAAAAAAAAAAAAAAAAAGAAGTGCGCCCTCAGCAAGTTCAGAAGGGACAAGTGAGTTCAAGCACAACTTGAGCATGTGCGCCCGTGCCACGGTCAGATTCCTGTCCCTGGAGCACAGCCTTGTCACGTCTTTCTGCTCTGCGGTAGCTCTTGGCGCGCCTCGCTGAGCACCCCGCCCGGCATCACCGTGTGCCAGGTACTGACCTAACCTGGTCCCTTCACACACAGGCCTGGTTCGTTCCCATGGCCTTCAGAAGAAAACAGGCCCCGGGTATCTAGATCTGTGAAGTGCAGTCTGAGATGTCAAGGCTCTAAACGATGTGAAATGCCTCACAGGAAGATGATGTCAGAATACGAAGGCTACCAGTCTCAGAATTCACAGGAGGTGGACCATTCGATTCAACAACATCCCCGAGTACCCACAATATGTCTGGCATTGTGTGGGGTGCTAGACACTGAAAGAGAAATATAATACAGCCACTGCCCTTAGATTGCTAACAGTCTAAAGACCATAGAAATCAGAGCTATTCAGCGTGTAAGCATTTCAATGGTGGTAAACTTCAAGAGCATGAAATATTGTGTCATCTCAGTAGCTGGAAGTTAGGAACTTGAGGAAATGAAAATTGAGCCATAGTATGAGTATGCAACGAATGAGTATGCAAAACCAAAATATATATATATATTTTAATTTATATATTTATATTTAAAGGAGTGGAAGGAAAATAAGTACAAACAGAAAAGGTGGTATGATCATTTCACCAAGTCCTCATTGATGAATATCAGTGGCGTTATAGGGAGCATCTTGCAATGGGTGGGACATTCTTGCACAGCAGAGGAATCATCTTATCTAGAATGCTCATCGCTTCTCCATTGAGTAACCCTGATAAGGGAACCTGTTCTAGAATCTCCATGCATTTTAGCTCCCCGAAGGAAACTAAAAAAGTGAATTAGTCCCATTTTTCAGATGAGGATTTTCATCTGAAAGGTTAGGTGCTTGTCCCAAAGCCAAGAGGGGTACAGTGGATGCTCCAGTCTCCTGTTGATTCTCCAGAATGGGTCTTTCACCCCTGTGCACGCTGCTTTGCAAGAGTATGGAAGCATTACAACTGCACAGATTGTATGGCCAAGTTCTAGCTTGTGAAACAGGATCTTAAGTATAAAAACAAATGCAAAATGACCGAAGGGGAAAATAGAAAGTTATAAAAAGAATTTCCTGAATTACATCTTAGATTTTCTACTTTAATTTTTTTAATGTTTTTATTTGAGAGAGCATGAGCAGGGGAGGGTCAGAGAGAGGGGAGATACAGAATCTGAAGCAGGCTCCAGGCTCTGAGCTGGCTGTCAGTACAGAGCCTGACGGGGGGCTCGAACCCACGAACTGTAAGATCATGATCTGA